AACATACTGCATGAAAGTCTTATTTATCTTGATTACTGAATTGTTTGGTATCTTCTTAAATTTTGTGCCTGAAGTGAGTTCCTCAATCACATAACCCTTGTCTTTGCCCTACCAGTTAGGCAATCTCCTTTTTCTTTAGTAGCAGAGAGAGAACACATTTTGACATGATGAAAAGTAAACAATGACTTCACTGACAGAGGAGGTAAAACTGAAAAGCAATAAAAGTTTACAAAATCACTCATATTTTCTTCTTAGAAAAAAAAAAAAACCCTCATGCCACTGAGTCAGATCCATCTCATAGTGACCCCTCCTTGGGTTTCTGAGGCAGTTGTTGTTATGTGCCGTCGAGTCGGCCCCGACTCATAGTGACCCCTCCTTGGGTTTCCGAGGCAGTATCACTACGGAAGTAGGATTGCCCAACCTTCCTTCTGAGGAGTGGCTGGTGGGTTTGAACCACCAGCTTTCTGGTTAACAGTCAAATGCCTTAGGCACTACACCATGAAAGCTCCCCATCTAATGAAGATCTTTTTTTCTGGAAACAGATTAGAGATTGTGGCATGCCATTTTTCCTGTATAGAGATGTCATGCTTTTCATCATCTAGAGCTATGGAGGAAATGAGGACAAAGGACATGACAAATGTTAATGGAAATATTAACTGCCCCAGGGAGATAAAAATGTGGCCTTTGCTCAAAACTCCAAAATGGGAGGGGGAAGAATTATGGGTCCATTAACCAGATTTGCTCTTGAGTCCTTCATGAATTTAGGCAAAGAAATCTGCACTTTCTTTTGTCTCTTTTAAAACCATTTTTTTTTGTTTGTTTTTTTTGTTTTGTTTTTCATGATTGAGTTTACTATTGGCCTATTTAAGGAAATAGATGATATATATTTAAAAAAAGGAAAAAAAAATTGCTTAAGAAAGTAATTCAAGTGCTAATAGTATGTATAATTAACCCTGAGTACAACAGAAAGTGTTCTTTGCTCCGTATTGTTTTCCTTGAATAAAGTTATAGAACTGAGCTAATAATTCAGTATGTGCAGCCAGTCACACATATTTGTGGCTTTTCCTTTCAGGACCCAAATAGGTATTGATGCTCAGCATGCAATTATTCCATAAGGACCATGTTTCTTTTGCATGCTACAGCATAATGGACTTCCAAAATATTCAGAGCATGTAATGAAACTTTGCTTGATGCATGTCAATAAAAGAACCACACATAGGTTTATGATACATATTCTAGAAGGACAGAAGCAAAATGGAGAGAAATTTTCAAATAGCTTAATTTTATAAATGATGGCCATGAAGTCCATAATAGCAAGGTAAAATAGTAAAATTAACAAATGTAAAAATCTGTGCTGAAAAAGAAAGTGTGGAGATTTTAAAAGTAATTCTGAAAGATCATAGTGATCACTGAAACTTTGAATTATAAATCAGTTTAGAGATAATGCATCCAAAACTTTAAATGCATGTCATATTATTCAAATTATTGCAGTCCACTAGGAATTATTTTAATAACTTGACTAGTGTAAGTAATAACTTGTACTCTAGTGTTCTACAGATATTATGCTCATTTAAACTTGTAAGTTGCAAAATAATCTTTTTTTTTTTTTTTTTTCCAAGTGGAGCAGCACTCATCTGGGAATTAATAAATTATGAAGTGTCACTGAGACCTAGAGGCAGGCAATTTATTTGATGAACACAACTCACTGCCACTCCTGCCATCTATCCTCATTGTTCTCATGAATGTTTGGCTATTTATTCTCACTAAAATTAACTCAATCTAAGGCTTTTCGGTCTAATGCAAAATCCATTTATATGCAGAGGTTCTATCCCTAGCCAAAGCCTTTGCAAGGCCCATGCCTGTAATCAAGTAAGTTTGTATAAGTAAGTTATGGAACAATTATTTGTAAACCTCATTTAGAACGACAGTAGCGACCCCTCCTTGGGTTTCCGAGGCAGTATCACTACAGAAGTAGCTTGCTCAACCTTCCTTCTGAGGAGTGGCTGGTGGATCTGAACTGCCAGCCTCTGGTTAGCAGTCAAATGCCTTACGCAGTATGTTATCAGAGCTCCCACAAATAATGGCAGTGTCTTAAAATTGGACAACCACCACATGCTAAAGAGGTACATAGCAAATAAAAAAAAAGTCTAGCTTTTACTGTATGGAAGAGGTAAAAAATAAGAATGGTTGAAAATTCATGGTCTATTAAAAGTCTTCTCTTTCTATAGTTGGAGAGTATCTGTAATTAATTTCTTAATAAGTATCTAGTATAAGCGATCTTGGAAATCTTATGATATATAGACAGAAAGAAAGAGGCAAAGCTGTACTCATTAATAAAAGAAGTTTGATTAGAGTATATTGATAAAATAAAATATTCATGATTTTAGTTTATTTTCTTTTGAATTTATTAATAATCTTTATAGATATTTATATATTTATGGCTTTGAGCAAAGACAAAAGAAATAATCTAACTCGTCCCTGATCATACAGTTGTTGTAAGAATCAGCTATTCTACTATCTTCCCAGCAGCAGAAAGATCAATCTTTTCAATAATACATTTCTTTCTGTACAGATTAAAACTCCATATTTATGGGCTTAACTATGTACAGAGAAAAGAGGTCATTGTTCAACTACCAATAAACCTTTATATTACAGGAATGTGAGTCATTTTTTTTCTTATCCTAAGTATATATACATTCATACATATATGTATATAATTTACCCTGTACCATTTTATTTTTAACATATAAACCTTAGTTTTTTGTGTTTTTTTTTTGTCCATTCTATTACAAAATGAATAAAAACTTTATGGTTGCACTGAAAGACCATGCAATTCAATTTTGCTTATATTTCTCCATAGTGCTCAAAATAAAAAACAAAAAAAATTATATATATAAAAATATTTCACTACCAAACCCATGAGTCCTATCAAATGTAAACCTTTAATAATTTAAAGTATCAATACATGATCTTAATAAATTGAATTTAATCCTCAATATCTTCAATAAAGGAGTTTTGTACTGATATGTAAATGGTCTTGCAGCTTTCCCATAGGTCTTAGGTAGACTGAACAATCATATTTTTACACCATTCCTGATACGCCATCATATGTCACTAGCATGTTAACAATAACATTACATTGACTAGCATTGTTGATTACTTCCACATAAGTTGGGATTTGTTAGGAATTAAAACTAACAACTCATTTTGGTATTATATCAGTGAAAGGCATAACAGGTAGCATGGGTCCACTTTAGACTTTTTGTTTTCTGTCTTCAAGTCTATCTGGAGGCCCTGCCACGTGTAATGGGTGATCTTTGTAAGTTCTTCTTTGATCACCATCAAAGACACTGAAGACCTTCACTTTAGGTCACTCTCTTAACTTGGGATATATACAGATGTTGGTTATTAGGAATCTTTCAATTGTCTTTTGGTCATCCACCACATTTGTGGGATGCATTAGGCACAAATGATCACTAAGGACTTCTTTGAAAGAACTGGATGCTCACAGATCATGTAAAGAGCTAAGGAAACAAACAAACAAACAATGCTCACAGACATTCAGCTTTACCCCTGCTTTCTTTCATCGTGTCCGTACTATTTTCAGCACATTTAAAATAATAAGCCTTCTATCTAAGGGCTGTTAGTCACTACATGCCTTACCTTTTACTAACCAATTAGTTACAATATACATAGAGCAAAGTGTGTGTTCTCAAACAGACATGGTGCTATATTGTTTACTTCTTCCAATTAATGCCACAGTAAACTATCAACTACAGTGAAGACATAGAACACACTTTCAACTCCAAATCAAGCTGTGGTTTACAAATAATTATTAAAATAATAATAATAATAATAGTACTAATATTAAATGAGAGTGAAAACCTCACTTCTAGACTTAAGTCAGAGATCCAAGTCAGCCTTACAGGAATTTTAAGATAGGCAATTAATGAATGTTTACACTTTCCTAGAAACAAGAAATACTGTAAGCCTTCCCTTAGAATGACTGATTAGAACCTATTATTTTTTTTTTCTCCAAAAGCATGCAGGGATTATTTTCAGATGCTTGATTATGGCAAGAAGGAAGAAAAGTAATGGTTTTTTGTGTAATACAAGCAATTTGTAGAATCGAGCATACAATTTTGCATAAAACATTGCAGGTTAAAATAATATTATAGGTTTTCAAGCCATTGCATTACAGTTGAATAACTGTCACAATTAGGTTTTGTTAAATTTAAAACTCTAAGTTTTGAAGTGAAGCAATGAAACTAAATTCTTAAACAATGACTTTTACCTTCATACAATACAGAATAGCTATTTTTGTTTGGGCTGAAAAATTATTTACAACTAACATCGATTGAGTCTTGGTAAGAGTCCAATAACACATGAAGACAGATAGCCCCTCAGCTTTCAGAAAGATCAATGAACATATTTGAGGCTCGAGACATTCATAATAGTGGCAATGCTAGTCTTCCTGCTGTGACCAGGCATACAGTGTGTTCTTTAACCCAATTCAAATTTGAAAGCACCAAAATACAATTTAGATCTATAAAATGGGATCTGCTAGTTAATCCGTCATAATTAATGATTAACAATTTGGATGCAGAGACATAGCTAATGAAATGAAGTTTTGATTGGTGCTGTTCAGGAGCTTGCTTGAGTTGCCTTTTTAAAATCAGAGTTTTGTTTCCAATGAATCCAAGAACTCTTCATAAAATAGAGATATACATATATCAAAGGAATTAAGTCAAAGTAGGTTAAAAATAAATAATCTTACAACAACATTTTAAATCCTTTAATGATTTAAAGAAAGGAAGACATGTAACACTGGATGCTAAACAGGTCTTTTTAACTTCTCTTGGGAATTTAAATATATATTAATAGCATATTTATATATGTATTTTTACATTTTGCCTGTATGCCAGAGCTGTCTAAAATATCTCTTCATAGTAGGCTATAGGGATCTATCAGGAGATAAAATAAAATGGATCTGAGAATGTTCTCAGTTTATTACAGTATTTCTTTCTGCTTTGACAATCAGCAGGGATCATAAATTTGAAGCAAATCGTGGCTTCTCTGCATCTGGGTCTGTGTTTAAGACTGAGGAAGACTCTCTCTGAAGAGCAGCTGCTGGTGGAGGGAGTGTTGGAAGGACTCCTCTGTTGGGGGGAATGGCTCCCGATGACATCTGTCGGAAGAGGGTGACTCGATGAGGGACAGTGCCCCTGGTCCCTGCTTGAAGGCCCGTGCCATGGACGGCGGTCACAGGTTGAGGGATGGAGGCCAGGGATTCGCCCACAGTGGGGTGAGGTCTGGAAATCAGAGTGGCAACCTCGTGAGGCAGGGAGGGCTGCGAGGCAGACAGGGGCCTGACTTCGCGTGTCAGGTTGGTGTTGTGAAGCGCCTGAGTGCTCTTGTGAACTTCGTTTTTCGGTGTTGAGCTGCTGGGTGTTGGTGGCTGTTGGGGCTGCTGTGGATGCTGAGTCTGCGGAGGCTGGGGCTGCTGTTGCTGCTGTTGTTGCATAAGTGACAACTGGGAAGCAGTGGGGGAGACGTAGTGGAAAGTTCGAGAAGCCAATGGGCTCTGTACAGGAGGGCTGCAGACTGCTGTGGTGTAGGAGCAGGGGGAGAGGATGGCTGATGGCTGGGGGGTCTGTGTGCTGGGACTGGGGGAATGCAGGTTGCTGTGAGACAGACTGGTTGCTGTGTACACCGGTGGGGACTGTGTCCTCATTCTAGAAGTGGGAGTTGTGGTAGAGGAGGTGGAATTCAGGGCTGACATTTGAGGATAATTGATTGGGGCAATTGCCTGCACCATCTCCCTATCATGTTTCACAATCTGCTTCAGAATCTCATTCTCCTGATTGTTGAAAACACCGGTGTTCAGATCCTTCTGGAACTTCTGTAGAAGAATTGAGTTTTTCTTTCCTGTCAGCAAGAGAAAGATAGACAATTGGAAAGTCTACAAATCACTGATAAAAACTCGGAGTGAGAGTGGCTCCTGAAAACAGAAGTGTGTCTCTGCTTTGTAAGAGTCTTAATATCCATATACTTGCCTGTAGACATCAATTAGAAATATATCTCTTGCCTTTCATGTTTCCTGTATCTCTCTGGTAACCCTTACTTTCTACTTAGGTGAAGGAAAATTGAAAAATCTGAAATATGGCAAAAACTGAACTTCTATAAAAAATGGACATCTTTAACATAAGAGTTATACTGAAGAATGGGGGAGGAAAGGGATTTTAGATCAGGATGGGCCTAGAACCAAGATATAATTCTAAAGATTCTTAGTTAAGAAAGGACCATGAGATAATTAAGACTTAACATTTGCACTTAAAATGTGACAGGCATTATATAAAAGGCTTTAGATTACTTTATTTAATCCTTAACTCTGTGAGGTATGTCAGTATATAATCCTATTTTACCAAAAAAGAGACCAGAATATAGAAATGTTGTGGACTGTGCCCAAGAACATATCATTAGAAAGTAAGCAGGAGGGAAAGGAAAAATCATGCCTCTGATCGTTGGGCCTTGCATTAGACCACGAACTAGCAGCATCTGCATCACCTGGGAGCTTGCTAGAAATGCAGCCTTTTGGGCCTCCACTTGAAGAAGCAGGTGCTGCATTTTACTAAGAATCTCCAGGGTATTCCTGCACACAAAGTTGAGAAGCATGACATCGGGGCATTATGCTTTTGACCAATGTCCTTTGTCAGTTCAGGGCATTTTGCTTTTGACCAATGTCCTACATCAGTGATTTTCAACTCTGGCTGCACCTTGTTCTCATCTCTGGAGATTTAAAAAAAAATACTGAGGTCTGCCTGTACCCTATAAATTAAGTTAGAATCACCAGATATGGGGTCTCTATATAGATACATACATGTGTGTGTGTGTGTGTGTGTGTGGCTATACACACACACATATATATACATATGTTGTTGTTTTTGTTGTTATATGCCGTCAAGTTGGACCTGACTCCATGGGTTTCCAAGGTGCTATCACTACAGAAGTAGATTGCCCAACCTTTCTTCCGAGGAGTGTCTGGTGGGTTTGAACCGCCAGCCTCCTGGTTAGCAGTCAAGTGCCTTAGGCACTATGCTTTCAGAACTCCTATATATGTTGTTGTTGTTGTTATGTGCCGTC